ACTGGAACAGGTTGCCCAGAGAAGCTGTGGATGCCCCCTCCCTGGAAGTGTTCTTAGCCAGGCTGGATGAGGCTTTGAGCAACCTGGTCTAGTGCAAGGTGTCCCTGCTGATGGCAGGGGGCGTTGGAACTAGATGATGTTTAAGGTCCCTTCCAACCCAAACCATTCTATGATTCTATGATTTCCTGCCAAATTATTTCACCACATCTCTCACACAGCAATTCAGCATCACTCAGGACCTAAGCCTAGCTGCCCCCAGCTTCTCCAGTTATCTGAGAGTGAGTTGGAACACAAGGGGGTTTATTTCCTGCTAAACTGCTTTACCACCCTTTTCACGCAACACTTGTGCTAGAGCAATGTGTCTCCTGGAACGATTATATAACCTTATATTACTTGCACTAATCCACTCTTGAATATAGCTGCTTTTAGATTTGCTTTGATAACTGTACTTTGAAATGTATATCCTGGGACAAACAAGCTTTGTTTTCCAAGAACATTCTCTAAACCTTTAATTTAATGCTAGTGATGTCTTTACCAATTACATCTCAAGGAAGTTGCCTTTCATTGTGGCTCAATGGGGTTTACGTTTAGGAAAACCAGGTCTACGATCTAACAATGACATGAGAGGATTTTCCACCAGAGGATCTCTCTGGAATGCATGCACTGGGGTTGACCTGTTCCTTACATCCTATACAAGCATTCAAACTACACTATATTATCTTAGATATCTCCCTGGGAAATGAACTTGTTTTTAAAATATTGGTTCTTTTACATGCTTTGAGACAATTTTCAGAGCTGCAATTAACACTCAAGTTTATGTTTTAGTAAAGCATTGTTTAGAACTTGCCTTAATTTTGTCTGTGTTGCATATGTGCATTGTGTGCATACAGCAAAGGAGGAAAAATCTGTCAGACTGACTACTCATTCCTGTCATCTTTAGTGACAGTTTCTTCTCTATTTATGTTTCCATATTTGCCTTAATAATAACTGTCCTTCTATTTCAATGAAAGCGCCTTTCCAATCCTAAATCCTTCAAGTCAAGAGGGCCTCTGGTACATCCACCTGAGATCAAAGGCTGCCCTTGTTTAAAACAGAATTTTGATTGTTAAACACTTGTGTCTTGGATCACACTGAAATTTCTCCCGTAAGAGAAGCAAATGCTCAGGCTGGACATGCAGCTGCACATGGATAGGTAGCAGCAGTGTCAGCCACTCACCTTTACACCTGGAGGGCCTCTTCGACCTGTTGCACCCTAGGAAGGAGTGGCATGACAGATTACGTCCAGAACACTGAGCAAGATGTGAAACAATAGCTTATGATAAAATACATTATATACATACAATCAAATCAAATAGAGCTTACAGAAAGCAGAGATTGTTTCCAAATAAAGGCTTAAGGCAAAAATGAGAAAAGAGTATGTTTGGGACAAAAATTCTTACACAAGTAAGCCTTATTTAAAAAAAAAAAAAAAAGTCTTTATACCTTTAGTGAGTGCAGAGGGGAAGGCATCTCAGTAAGATTCTGGAAAACATGTTTCCAGTCAGCTACTGCTCAGCTAAAATAAAGAGAACAAGAGCACTCTTCTCTCTGTCTCAGCTGAGAGGTCTGCACAGCTTCCTGCTGCACACTATACTATTAAACCTCACATCACTAGAGGCCTTTAGGATATCTCTGCAGCCTGACCGAGGAGTGGTCATCATTCCAGACTTTGGCATTAGGCATCTTTCTGATAGACTAGAAGAGGTGCCTTCAAAAGTTCCAGTCTCCAACTGGAGCAGTTGGAGCAGTTCAGCTGCCAGTGAGTTTTTATATAGGCTTAAACAGGTATACAGAACTTGCAGTCACAGGAAGGAAGAAAGGATAGATTTATCTGTGGTGAAATTATGAAATAATTATGGCTCATAGAAAAGGTTGCATTGACTTTAAGGCTTGTGACTTCACATGAAACAAACCTGAAATTAATGGGACAGCAAATTCCTGATTTTTAAAAAATCAAAACACATTGCAACACATAATATATTAAATTTGAAGCCAAATATGTTTCACTGTGAAAATTTTTGAAGATTTTTGTTCCCTCTCATTGCAGGAGTTTTAAGCATGGGATAAAAGGAAGAAGAGAAAAATTGGTTTCCTCAATGGGAACTCCACTGTATCTCATATCAGTTGCTTCCACCCTGTATTGATTACTATTCTTACATCAGGGCCAGCATCACCCTGTTCTCCTTGAAGTCCATGTGGTCCTGGGTCTCCCTGCAAAACAAATAATGAACAAGCTCTTTAAATACTCTTTCTTCTTTTTGTACTTACACACTCTTCTTTATACTTTCCTTCTTTGTTTGTTCTCCTAAGAAATTTGCAATCAATTGTATCATGCTAAATGCTGATTCTTGTTTTCTGCAAATCATTTACAAACAAAAATTATAAACCAGAGAGCTCATGCTTGCTTTGGATTTCCAACCTATCAGTTACTAATAGCTGATATTTGGACAAGGCTTTTGTGAAGTAATTTTTGTTGACTTCAGCCTTTCAGTTGGACTTCTTGAGAGGAGAAAGTTTGATGAGGTTTGTTTCCAAAAGTCATCAAAACACAATTATTGTCTTCCTACTGCTTTCAGCACACTCTATATAGACATATACGCACACACACATGTCTAAATATGTGCACATAACCCTATTTGTTCAGATAGAATCTAACTTTAAAATAGTGGATTTTTCTCATGTTTCTAGTTCTCACCCTCTTAAGCTTTCATCCACCATCATTTATTTACTACTGTCTAACTACTTATCACCTTTGCTTATTCTTTCCAAAGTGCGACAGCAAAATGGGCTGTGCTTCTCTGTTGTTTCTTTTCTTGCAGTATTGCTCCAACATCTCTTAAAAATTCTGACATCACTATATAAGCACATATCTCAGGTCTTACATTCTAAATACAAATCAAAATGGAGTTTTTCCACCACCCTGAGGAAACAGTACTTCTGTAGTAAAATAAGAACAGCCTGTTGATATCCAATGCATTTTTCCCAGCATGGTTTTTAACAATCCATTACTAAGAAGCCTCTCAGGCTGGTGATGCAAATTTGTGGCAGAATAATATATTTATACTAAATCCATATCTTCCCTTATGTGAGGAACCGCACTATAGATTTGTCTCAAAGATTGTTTGCAAGGACAGTCACAAGACCACCGGGTTCTGGAAACCCCGACTTGTGAAGGCACCCTGCTCGCAGGGGTGTTCTACCCAGACATGTCCCTGCCCAAGTGCTGGGGGGCACGAAGAGATGTGACATTGCTATGGAAACTACAACCCTCGAAGGGGTATTTAAGGAGGACTGGCACGGGCAAGGGGGCGCAAGCAGAGAGAGAGAGACAGGAGAGAATGACTGCCTGACCGCACCGCACCACACCGCACCTCGCCACGCCGCATCACCGCTGGAACAAGACACTGAGCCCTACT